TCTTTGTTCGAGGTTCATATTTTGTCTCCTCTTCCTATGATTTTCGGCCCTTCTTGCCATTTGTTATTGACTTGATATCTGACGGGTATTATTTTCCATTTTCTTAATGTAACTTCCAAACACATATGCAATTTATAAGCAAAATACTTTCACTAATTATGTTGAAAAATATTGGTAAATATGGACGGGATTTAAAATAAATATATTTCTTTTTGGAAAAAAGAAGTTTACACCAAAAAGTATTACTTGTAAAATATATGTTAAAAATATAAATCAAAACTAAAATATAAAATAGACGAAGAAAAAATGGGCAATCAATAAAAAGAAACATAAATTATGTTGGACAAATAGATGAAAAGATTGCATATTAACTAAACATTAAAATGGGGTAAGAAATGAAATTAGTGTAACTTAATTATATGAAAAACTACTACTACAAAAAAAAATTATATGAAAAACTGAGTTAATTTAAGTTATAGATAAAAGATATATTAATTAAAAAAAATAATGAGAAAAAATAGTGTTATAGTAAAGGGAGTTTAATAGATTTCACTGTGTTCCAATTGCTCCTTGTAGGTTCATAGTAATATTTCTATGTTACTCCAAATTATTTTGTATTTTAGTTAAATGTTAGTGCATCTATATTAAATATTTCTAAAAGGATATTATCTATACGGGAGTTTAAAATATATTCTTGAGCAGTGTAAATGAGTTCACGATAGCCTATGTTCCATTAGATGACAATTACCAACCATCGCTAATAAGAGTTGTGTATCACCATCAATATTCTATTATACTCACCATAAAAATTAGTTTGTATTATCTATCTTACTTTTTTTTATACTCCTATCTTTTTTATGTTCAAAGGGCTAGCAAGAATGAAGTTGTCCAAAAAAAATGAAGTTGATTGTAACAATTGCAAAGATGAATTAAAATATTCATATAAAGTTTTGTTCAATGTATTCAAACACATCAGTATATATATATAAGTTAATATACACTTAGACATTATCCTTTGGAGATGGCAAAATAATAATATTACTTATTTAATTAAACAATTTTTTTAGTGTGTATATATAGACTTCTATAAAGATATCATTACATATTCTAGGAAAGACTTAATTTTCTAGAAAAATATCAAGATCAGTTATCACACATAGGGAACCAATTTACTAACATATTTTTGTATGATTTTTGCAAAATAAAGATGAAATATATATATATATATATATATATATATATATATATATATATATATATATATATATATATATATATATATATATATATATATATATATATATATATATATATATATATATATATATATATATATATATATATATATATATATATATATATATATATATATATATATATATATATATATATATATATATATATATATATATATATATATATATATATATATATATATATATATATATATATATATATATATAGATGAAGGAGATATAAATTTTGAAATGTATTATTTTCATTCATTTATTGCTTTTAAATTTCATTTATAAATAATTGATTTATAATTTTTAATTCCATAATCATATTTGAATTGATATCTATAACCTCTCTTCTCCATTTTACAAATATATATATATATATATATATATATATATATATATATATATATATATATATATATATATATATATATATATATATATATATATATATATATATATATATATATATATATATATATATATATATATATATATATATATATATATATATATATATATATATATATATATATATATATATATATATATATATATATATATATATATATATATATATATATATATATATATATATATATATATATATATATATATATATATATATATATATTATAAATCTACATTTGCATTTGTCCCAATAACATCTCTATCTTTTTTGCAAAATTACTCCTATCTTATTTTTAACGCATATTTGATTCTTCTCCCCCTCTCTTTATATGTTATTGTAAATTTATACTTTCTTTCATAATTGCAATTGTATTTTTAAATTCGATTACCATGTCTTGATTTGTGGTTTATGTTTCCTCACCTAGAGTCCTTTCAAATATGTAAAATAGGAAATAACATGTGAGTGACAAATTATTTCATTGCATGCCTTGATTTTAACTTTTGAATAAAAGAAGTGAATAAGGTCTAGAAGTTAAGAAGACTTATAAAAAAGAGGACATAAGAGAGATAGTGTTACAGAATTTGACAAAAATTTTATAAATGATTCTTTTGATAAACATGCATAATAAAATTTGTAATTTTATTATAGCTTTCATTCCTAACAACTTCCATGCATATCTTAAACAAAAGCCACGTTATTGACTTTTATATATGATACAACCGATATTTTTTTATCTTCTGTCTTCCATACGCGTTCAGAGGATTAGGATGGGGAATTGGGATGCTATGCCTCACAGTTATGGGGTTGTGACGTTCTACTCTTATTGTCTCATGTATATCTGAAAAAATCGCATGTAATTTATTTAAAATTAAAATTATTAGACTAATGAGGTTGAAAAACAGTAACAACCAATTACACTAAACTTAAATAAATTATACTGATACCAAATTAAGGCTAAATGAGAATTATACCTAAGACTAAATCACAAAGCATATGATATATAGTTTCTTAGATATATAATTAAGGCTATTTATTTATAAATAATTAGGGAATATTTTTTCAAGAGTAAATATACTGAACTATATACTTCAAGCTTAAATATTAATATATTTTATAAATTACGTAATTTAGTATACCTAAGTACTTCCATCTGCTTTCTATTACGGTAGTCCTGATATATAGGTATACCTAAAATCATGATAATTGACACAAACCACAAAGCATATAATACTACTTCAAACTTTTATGTGTATGATGATGACGATACTATAATGAACAATACATGTGGTTATGAATATTGTGTCGGAAATATTTTATGGCAGTTTATAAATTTTGTATTTTAATAGAGACTTCCAATGTAATGGAGTAATAATTACGTGTAGTGTCATATTTCGTCAATAATTACACCAAATATATCAAATATCCATTGAAAACTTCCAAACAATTTCTTAGTATAATCTACAAAACATCCTTGTATCATATAATTTCCAATTTATATTGGAAGTGCGCGTCAAAAGTTATGCAATATTCTAATTGTTACGACAATTTCTTAGCAACTATTTCATAGTTACAGTAATTATCAAGTACAAAAAAAACTTCCATGTATCAATTAAAAACAAAACAAAAAAATGCACGCAATTGTAACTGTTAGTTTCCATTAATATCCAGAAACGATGTCCATAAAAGAATGTAAACCAATAGAAATGTAAATAGGAGGAGATGTGATCAATTTTTAATAAATTCATTCAATTATATTTAAAAAAATACCTGACAAAAATAATATCAGAATGAGTTTGTTGAGAGCCTTGATCTACACTACTTTATACATTCATTCCATTGTATTTCAAACAAAGGTACTAGTGAAGATTGAATTCTCTTGATAAATTATAGATGAAGTAATAGATCAATTATTTGCGCTCCAATAATGGAGGTATGTACGGTTTGACAAAGAAAGAGAGAGAGGGATACGATTATTTTGTAAATAGCTTGACAAATTGAGAGAAATAGTTTGTAAATGGCTTGGAGAGAGACTCACTTTGCATAGAGGAGTTAGTATGAACCTTAATAATAGGAAGGACTATTAGAAATAGTGGAAAGTTATTTTTTACAGTTATTATTTAGTATTATTATTAAATAAATCATGTGAGAAATTAAGCATTAAGGTAAAGGGTAAATATGGAATAAAAATATGAAATTAAGCATTAATGAAGGGTAATTGTGGAACAAAAATAAGCCACACCAAAAAGTTGTATCCTCTTTATATATAGTTATAGACTAGCGTTCAGACGGGTCAGTTTTTTTTAATGCGCACAACATAGGAAAATAAACGTGTGTATATTTTAAGGGTAATATTGAAGGAAAAAAAATAGTTTAACAGTCTTTGCTTCCAATCTATCTACCCAGTATCCAAAGAGAATTAAAATTAGTTTCTGTTTTTTTATAGGAGTTTTCAGTATTACCCTTATGAAAAGAAATAATATATTACTAACGTTTATACGGACACTCTTGTGTCCGTTTATCTGCATTTTTAATGAACACACGTTAAAATATAAATGAATATTTTTTTTATTTAATTATGCTTTAAATTTAAATTATTTAGGTACTCTCATGTTTGTAAGAAATTTTAAAATATCATTTTTTTAATTAATTAAAAGTTAAATCATTTTTCAAATTAAATTTTTAAGTAATATGAAATTTATTTTGCATGTCTCTAACATAAAAAGTAAAAATTGTAAATAAAAAATTAACAATAAAATTCAACTAATTTAAGAAAGTGAATGGTTAGTGTTTCAAATTTTCAATAATTCACAATAAGTTTTGTTGTTAATATTATTATTCTTTTTTTTCCCATGGTTAAAGATGTGTTTAATATGAAGGTCACACGTATAGAAATAAAAAATAAAATACTGAAATCATGTTATCCCTCTTTTTTATGTGTTTTATTTTGTATATATAAGTTGCACTAGTAGAAAAAATACTTTATAGTAGAGGTTGTTAAGTCAGTTCACCTGCCACCTGACTTAAGAAGTGATGCGGTGGCAATTTCATAAATATTTGTAACATTGTTAGGTCAATTATATTTAGAACTGACTTAAAAAAAATAAAAGAAAAAAATTATAATTCGTATTAAATTTCTTAAGTGGTCTGTGTTCACTAACTGACTTAAAAAACATATTTATTAAGTCAGGTATTGCCCACATGACCTAAGACGTTTTATTCAAACCCTTCTGTCACTATAAACCCTTCTTCTTCACAACAAACCCTTCATTCAACAAATGAACTCCTTTTGTTAAACTCTTCTCACGAACCCAGAAACCCCCTTCATCAAACTCGAATCCAGAGTAGCCATGTTGCTTCGCTGTTTGCCGTGGACGGCGGTTTCCGCTGCTGCACCAATTCCACTGCATTCTTCCATTAAAGTTTTCAATTCCATTCCAAAGCAACTCGCCTTCTCCCTTTTATCCTTCTGCTCCACCTCCGACCTCCATCTCACTCACCATCCAGACAAACATGTAATTTCATTTTCACGCCATTTCTAGGGTTAACTCATTCAATTGTTTTTTTGTTCGCATCATTCGCTGAGTTTGAATCTTCATTTGCAGGAACACGAACAGGATAATCGTCGCCTGCAACATCTAAAACCCGACCTTTATCTCGTCGGAACACCGATCCGAAAGAGCAGGTCAAACCCACTTTCTAGAGACCACAGGGCAGTTGGACTAGGGCGAAGACCACGTCCTGGTCTTCAATACGCCACGTAAGCCTTAGCAGTCACCTGGGTTAGGCCTGACCATCCAGTCCAACACAAGTGACCGTTGGCCCAGCGTTGGGGTCTCTCTATAAATACCCTCTTCCACAAGAGGGTCAGGTAATTCACTTCTTACCCTTTTTTTTGTGCTTGTGACCACTCTGCCCATATACTTACTTTGGCATCGGGGTGTCTTGTAGGTACACCCCCTCCTCTTCTGATCAGGTCAGATCAATATATATATATATATATATATATATATATATATATATATATATATATATATATATATATATATATATATATATATATATATATATATATATATATATATATATATATATATATATATATATATATATATATATATATATATATATATATATATAATTTTCTTTTCTTTCTATTTATGATGATAAACCGTGCAGCACTAATAAAATATTTTCTGAAACTATAATTGATTATGTTTGTAATTGTTGGGTTGAAACTATAATTGATTATATTTTTAATTTATATTTAATATTTAAATGATGCAGATCTTTTTTGTATATGAATAGAAATGATGAGTTTATGGATTTTAATATTGACTTAATTTTCGGATATGAATGGAGATAATGAAGTTAATTTTAAAAATAAAATATTAATATTTATTATGATTAAGACAAATTTTCAGGCTATATATATTGGAGGTAATGTGAGTGTGTTGTAAATAAAAAGTAAAGACATATAAAGCGAAATCCAAAACATGAGTTCTCAACGCTATCAACTTTGTTATTTTCTAATTGTTTTATGCATGACTTTTATTATGATATCAGGTTAGTGAAATTTGTTTCTATCTTTTTAGTATAATTTATAGAAAAATAAGTGACTTGTTTAAAATAATGATTTATGTTTGATTCAGAAATAGTTACAAGCTTGGAGAGTGGACGAACATTAGTGGAAAAACCAATATGTATTCGTGAGAGTAACATCGACCCAACATTTTGCTGCATGGGGAGTTGTAGTCCTGACTGTTCTACAGATTGCATCAACAAGGATATGTAAAAGGTGGAGACTGTAATTCTCAACTTGAAAATCAGTGTTGCTGTTTTGTTTAATGATTACAATTTATTTCTTTTAAATGTTAAAAGGTGATTTATTTTGAATAAAATTTTAAATGTCAAATTTTACCAATTGAAGTTTTTAATAATATATTGCAAATAAGCGTAAAATAATAACATTTACAATATTAAAACTTAAAATTAAAAAATAAAATTCATGTGTTAAGAATTATAATTGGACTTACTTTAATAAGAAATTTTGTAATTTCTTTCTTTTAAATAATAATAAGGGTTAATTTTTATTTATTTAATTGATCTCACATAAAAAAAATGTGGGAGATATCCTTATAATGTTATGCACTAACATGCGAAAAATCATGAAAAAAAATTAAAGTGTTTCAATTGGTAAGGATATCTCCCACATTTTATGCAGCTGGCAAGAATTTTCAATGAAACGAGAAAGAAAGGTTGGAAAAGAAAAATCTTGAAGGTTGCTACTGCATAAAATGTGTATGAGATATGGAGAGAAAAGAATGCAAAACTATTCACTCAGTCTAACATCGCCCCTAGCTCAAAGAATATGTAAACACTAGCACCATAATTATAGAGTAGTCAAATAGTTAAGCTTGATAGTTTTGATATTCTTGATGTATTGACCCTGGATCCATTAAATACAACATTATAAATTGAGTAACTTCATGATATCAATAATTTTCGCCCCTACCAATTTAGACAAATTGAATGGGTAATATGGAAAATCCCCTTCAGAATACTTTGAAAACCTTAACATTAATCTCACATTTACATTACGAATATTGAAACAATATTTTACATAACATTTATATTATGGTCTAAGTACTTCAGAGAAAAATATTATCCTACCACATTTATTCTTATGGTCTAAGTACTTTTACTTAGAATGTATCTATCGTCAAGTACTTCAATTACTATACTATAATAGTGTACTTTCATCATTGAACTCAAGACTTAACGTTAATCAAATGTGAGTTGAGTTTTCATTATTGATGATTAATTAGATATGGACTTGTTCCACATTCTCTAATAATGTCTTTATTGTATTCTTTGTAACTCTTTCGTCAAAGAATTGCAAGATTTTTTCAAACTTTAATAAATTTCAAATATTCAATTTTTTCAATTAATTATGTATATGATTATTTTATGTACTCTTGATAGTATTTATCATCTATCATTAGACCATGACACTTTTATCATATTAGTACCATTGTCATATACAATATATATTTTATATTTTTGATAGTTTTGATAAACTATTATCATGACACTTTTGTCATATACACAAATTTTATGTAATTCTTCGTTTGCTAACTTTTTTAATTTGAGGTTTTACAATCACTTAAATATATCTAAAATGTATTTAATGCATTAAACATTTATATCAATCGACAACCACGTTCATACAAATTTATCATGACTAACTTTTATTTTATGAAGTGACTTCAAACATGTAACTCATAAACTCCATATAAATATAACAAAATAGAATTTATTTATATTCTTTTTAAAATAAACAACTTTCTTGCATAACTAACTAATGAATAACAAATTCATGTTTCATATTTAACAATGTTCTACGGTATAATAAAGAAAAACTCACAATACAAAATAAATACTGAATTCACATCATTAATATTTTCTATAATTTTCTTCTATAATTTTCTTCTATAATTTTCTTACAATAATTTAAAGTATACCAAAATTACTTTTAATATAAAGATGAACAAGAAATAATATTTTTATATTATAATACATATATAATATGAGATAATTTAAACATGTTCTTGCATAAATAAAGTATACAATTGAAACATATTCTTGATATTTTAAACATTTTTATTTACATCATTTTATGTTATCAATATATGCACCAATAATTAAAATTCATGTTTTTTTTATATATTTAATTTTATACCAAGTCATTTCATTCATAAATAATGTAGAAAAATAAATTACTTATACCAAAGAATACAATTAACATGTATTTTACATTCAATTATACACCATAAATCAAATATATTTTTAATTATTCAAATTAACATATTTGAATAATATATAAATCATGCACATATAAATTTATTCCACCGGTTAAACTTAACATAAATAAATATTATTTTAAATATATTTTACATGAATTTAAAATATCATATAAATAACATGTTTATTTAATATGATTGGGTATGAATACAAAAATATATATGATTATCTCTCCATCAAATTTTCAACCACAAATTAATCACAAAAAAATCATAAATTAAAATTCTACAATTTTAAAGTTATATGAATTAATTGTGTACCTTTCAACATCATTGAAAGTCGTTAGCATATTCTTTAAAGTTGCATACTTTAATATTAATTATAAATAAAATATGGATCAAAATTGAAAGTTGCATACTTTAATATTAATTATAAATAAAATATGGATCAAAATTGAAAGTTGAACTTAAAGAATGTTAGATCTTGTGTTAGGGGTCGGCTACAAAATATTAATAAGATGAAGATGAAAATGGTATGATGAAAGTTGCACAAAATAAGTTCTAAAGTGTGTGTTTACACTAAATTTTAGGTTCAATTTTCTCCACCAATTTAAACAAATTGAATGTAAATGGATAATTTGGCGAATCTCCTTCGTCAACGATATTTTACAGAATAAAGTTCTCTCATTTATTCTCGTGCACTAAAAAAAATAAAGAAATGACTACAATATAAATTTTGTCTCTAAAATATATTATTTTTGTATATTGTTATTAACGAGTAACTATATCAGGAAACATTGCATTGGTTTAGTGGTGACCATTTGTTATTAAATTCATTAGATCAAATTTTTATTAAAAATATATTCTTAAATTCTATATATTATTTTTAAAATTTAAATACTTATAATTGAAAGATACATTTTTTTATATTTTTATCGATTTATGATTATAAAGCGTTTTTTGGGGCAGCACTAATGAAATCTTTTCTGAATTTACGTGATTCTATGATTTTTTTTAAATTTTATATTGAGTAATTATAAAATATAAGTTTCTTGTCTAATATTTTTATAATGTTTTCTTCAAAATTTATTGTAAATAACAAAATATGAAGTATAATACAACATTTAAATGTTTTAATAAATTTCAATAAATTGGATGTTATTGAAATGACATAAAATAAAAGAAAAAAAAATAAATTGAAATTAAATTGTATATTTATATTCATTTGCTTTGTTATTATTATTACTTATTATCTAAACATATATTAAAAATAATGTTTTTTTCAATTGAAAGAAGACAAATACTATTTTAAATATTTGTAGGGATATCTAATTAATTAGATCAAAATTTTATTAAAAATATATTCTTAAATTATATATTATTTTTAAAATTTTGAATACTTATAATTGAAACATAAATTTTTTATATTTTTATCGTTAAATATATATATATATATATATATATATATATATATATATATATATATATATATATATATATATATATATATATATATATATATATATATATATATATATATATATATATATATATATATATATATATATATATATATATATATATATATATATATATATATATATATATATATAAAGCGTTTTTTGGGCAGCACTAATGAAATCTTTTCTGAATTTACGTGATTCTATGATTTTTTTTTATTTATAAATAGTTGGGTTGAAACTATAATTGATTATATTTTTAATTTATATTTAATATTTAAATGAGGCAGATCTTTTTTGTATATGAATAGAAATGATGAATTTATAGATTTTAATAATGACTTAATTTTCGGATATGAATGGAGATAATGAAGTTAATTTTAAAAATAAAATATTAATATTTATTATCACTAAGACAATTTTTCAGCCTATATATATTGGAGATAATGTGAGTGTGTTGTAAATAAAAAGTAAAGACATATAAAGTGAAATCCAAAACAT